TAGAAATTTTATATATATATATATATATATATATATATATATATATATATATATATATATATATATATATCAAATATAAGGTTGAAAAATATAGAATTGTCACAGAGAGAAACCTGAGAGCAGCCACGTCATAAGTTTTGGCCAGCCCTATCGGACTCAAGATTTAAGGTCTTCACACACAAATTGACATAACAGTAACGTAAAACGTACCGTAAGAATTGACCAATCATGTTGAGAATCGTTGAACCGTTGGTTGCCATTTTTATGAATACTCGATTGTAATTGGTCAATTCTTACGGTATGTCTTACGTTACTGTTATGTCAATTTGTGTGTGAAGGCCCTTAGCCTGTCCAGTTAATGACTAAAAAGTTGTAGATGGCTCCACAGTCAAGTTAGTCGGTGTGGCTGGGCAATTGATGGGTAGATCAATTCCGTATCTTTTAAAAGAACGATGAAATTATCATTAAATATTTTTTGTCTTATATAATAGAAAAGTTATGTAAGAGCTATGCAACGATAAGAATGGTGTCGTTAAAAATTGTTCAAGAAATTATCCACAATTCATAAGAATCAACTTACAGACATGTAAAGAGAGTAATTCATATATATTGTAGATAGTTTTATTCAATAAAAGAAAATTGTATTTAGTATTAAGAAAGACTTAATTTTTTGTAAAAAAAAAAATTTATAAAATAAAGTAATAAAATAATATAATTATGATGATCAATATGATAACAAGTGTAACAATATCATTGTAAAATCATATCATAGTCATATTATCACATAATTATGATGATCAATATGACAACAAGTGTAACAATATCATTGTAAAATCATATCATAGTCATATTATCATAGTGTAAAATAATATTATTGTGATATTAGTATAAAAATAAATAAATATTTATTTTAAATATAAGATTTTTAAGTTTTAGCAATTATATTTTTATTTTTATAATATATTAGTATATTATTAGTATATTATTTTTAAATATAAGATTTTTAAGTTTTAGCAATTATATTTTTATTTTTATAATATATTAGTATATTATTAGTATATTATTTTTAAATATAAGATTTTTAAGTTTTAGCAATTATATTTTTATTTTTATAATATATTAGTTTTTTATGTTTTACAATGTTTCGATATTTTTTTCATATGTTGATTATCTTTTTTGTTATTATTTAAGTTGCGACAATATTGTGATAATCTTATTTGTAAATAGTAATAAACAATATACGATATAATATCTATTTTATGAGCCTCACAAGGAAAAGTTAATAAATCAGATTCAATTACATTATTTAAAATAGCATCTACAACATTTAACTCGTAGCAATGTTTTGTAAATACCTGTTCCAAATTTTTAACAAAATTGTAGAAACCTACATTTGGATGAACAAGAGATCTATATCACCCAAGTTCGCTTTTCTGTAATGTACTTCGGAATTAGTAACAAGTGCTTGTTTACATAAAGAACATTTCGTGAACTTTAATAATCGCTAGCAAATACCCCTTATAGAAATATCATACTAAGAATCATTGATAATTACTTATTATCCAGTATTTTTAATACTGAAAATAAGTAATTATCAATGATTCTTAGTATGATATTTCTATAAGGGACGTGCAGTGATGAAATATATAATGCAATCAAAAGTTGCAAGTGTGGTATAATCATGCTCTGACATATCATAAATGTCCCAATCGTCATTTGTGATAATATCATTTAATCTTGATTTCATACTAGAAATGAATGAATCCGTTTCCTCTTTGGATTTTTGATACAGAGACTTGATGTTGTTGAGCGAAATTAAAGGCAATTTTACTTCTTTTTCTAACATGCAATTCCCATATTTTGGTGGAGAGAGGATAGAATAGGAAGACAGAATTTTATAAATTTGTAAAAAAGTTGGTGTTGCAGAATGGTCATTACATCCTCCTGCTTGACGAACACAACCAAAAAATCGCTGTAAATAAGAAAAATATAAATTGTTTACTAAATACGATTTTTCTGCAAGTATCTTTTACAATGTAGCGCTAAAAAAAGAAAATCAACTTAATAATTATAGAAAATGCAAAATAGTATTAAATTACAATTAATTATTAAATGTAATTTTCATGTAAGAAAAATCATGTTTTTCATGATACAATTAATTCCCCGTATATAACAAACCTCCAAAGTATCTTGATTTATATTTCCTGACAAAATGCAAGAGAAATTAAATTCGCTGATTAAATAATGCGTAATATCTATCATGGATTGTAAAGTCCTATGCGAAGTCCTTCCATAGTTTGTCGAGTAAGAAATTCATTGTTTGTGATGATTCCTTCCTTCATTAGATTTTCCCATTCATCCAACTTATGTAAAGATTCTTATAGGAGCTATAATATTGTATAATAATAATATTAGATAATATTGTTACATTTACATGAACATGCTGAAATTTACTTTTTGAAAAATTGTACAAAATAATACCATGTACCAAATAATCTTTACTTCCTACTTTTAATCCGCTTTGATAATCTTTTCTATTTAAAACATCAAACAAACAATTCATCCATTCACAGAATTCTGCAGTGGCTGTATTTTCTTTGAATTCAGGATGATGTAGACTGTAAAAGCGCAGTCCTTTTGCAATAGAATTGCTAAGAGTCTGAAATAACAAATGTTATACTGGAAGTAGAATTATTCAAAATAGAATTTTTTATTATCATTATACAAAACACTGATATTACCTGTACAGCTAAATGAACTCGTATTTTTGATGAATTTTAAAGATAAAAATAATGTTTTGTTATTTTGGGACAAATGGGAATTGGCATACTACGTTCTATTTCATATAATTTTTCAAAATGTTAGAGAGAAATGAAAGGTCTTCTAGTTTCACCTGTATAAAATGTAGATAGATAAAATAAGATAATATTTTCTACGAAATTAATAATAAAAATGAAAAACTAGTATCACAATTATTGTGAAATTTTAATTTCATTTGTATAAATATTATTATTTAATAGTGAAATACATGCACGTATTTGTAGATTCTTATTGTATAATCGGTTTCGTATAGTTTTTATAAAATGTGGTGTGTTAGAGAATATAAAAATTTTTCTTGATGAGTCAGTGACATATGTAAACCAAGTTTTTAATTCGTGAAATTTCTTCCTGAAATGCCTATTACATTCCAAAATTTTCTATCGTCGTTGCTGCTCCATCAGTAACAATAGCGTGAATTTTAGCTCCAGAATTTTCTAATAAAACAATTGCTTTAACAATAAGTTCTGCCAATATAGTTCCTTCAGTTGGTCCTTTTGAAGCAAACACACATATAGATTGTGCTGCATGTACAGTATGAAATGGCTGATACATGAATACCAGTCCATGGTTTACTTTGTCGTTAAAACTTTTAGCTTTCTCCAAAATCAACTAAACCGGAAAAAGTTAAATTTTTTTAGTTTACATATACACTTTCGCATGTGGCCATTTCATCTATCAATAATATTCCATGTCTCTCATTTTCATTTATTTCTAACATTTTAGTTTTGAACATTTCAAAAAAACTTGAATTAAATCCACAGCATGATGTAATGCAAGATAAATATCTACAATAAGATAAAACGTTAGAAATTAAGTAGATATTTGTACAAATTTATATTTATTTTTAATTTATTTATACTTTCATTTTCATTTCTATCAACACAAAATACTTAAATACATCATTGTAAAAATTAATGTATATTGAAAAAAATACATTTTTATTGAAATAATTATACCTGCATATAGTACTTGGAGAATCCTTATAAAAATTTAATACTGATAAGTGATAATTTGGCCAGTGATAATTACTGTCGTTCAATAATTTTATTACTCGTACGAGTAATAAAATTACTATTTATTACTGGCCAATTTATCACAGCCAGTGATACTTTTCTATAAGGGAAGATAGTGACAATATTTTATTATTTAAAATAAAGTCATATCCTTTTAGAGATTTCATATGAAGAAGTAAACATAATAAAATCTATTTATCAGAATAACGCCTGCCTTTTGCACTCTTTCTCGATGAAGATGATAATATTTCTTTCAGAGCTTCTTGTTCATTAATCGAAATACCTTTCCCTGCCATTGCATTTTTTAACATTTTTTCATTTGTTGTCTGTACATTTTTTCGTATCTTTTCAATCTCTCTATGCAGTTTCTGAATAGTACATATTTTACGATTTTTACACTTCATTACATTGTATATCTGTTTTCTAATGTTATCGATCAAATTTTTCTTTGTTGGAGTTAACTTATCTGCTCTAATTTTTTTTACTTCACTTCCTCTGTCATTAGAAAGTTTCCTTTTTTTTCTAAAGTATACTTCAAAATTTTTACAAAAGTTATATTGAATAGAATTTTCCAATATTATAGGACATTTTTTATGTTTTAGTATATTATTGCTTTCTTTTATTGCTATACTTGTTTATTCAACTTCATAGTTATTTGTATAAGTTTTGCATATGTTGAAGATCTCGACCATTTTAATTAAATCTTCTAATATACTTAGTGATAATACAATCTCGTTATACCAAATATATACCAAATTTATACCAAATATATTTAATATTATAATAAAAATTTATACCAAATATATTTAAATCAATAGGCTTTCCTAAAGCTTTTACTTGAACTTTCATATCCTCAGTTATCCATATTTCTTTAATGCAAATTAACTGACTTTCAGTCTCAATGAATTTACACATCATTTAACTAAATATGATGACAGGCATTTTTCAATGGTAATATATTTCTATTCCAACCAGTTGGAATATAAAGTTTATCATTGTATTTCAACTCGTTAAATGTTAGAATATCTGAGCTTTCTTTCCTTTTCATATTATTATTTAATAACGCACTTCCTGTATTTTCTATACTATTTTCTGATTTTGTCATAAAAGATACACTTTCTCTTTTATCATTATCATTATTTTTATAATTATTTTTGTCATTATTTTTTATCATTATTTATAAATTCTGTCCAAGGAAATAATGAGGGTACTGCATTGTCCTTAATATAAGGCCTTTTTAATGAAATCTAGAAAATCAGTATTCATTACTCTTTTATTACATTATATTATATTACATTATATTATATATTATTTATTTAGTATTATTTAATTAAAATATTTACAAAAATATATATACTATATATATATATATATATATATATA